TGCAGGGACATGTTGCTCAGAAAGTTGATCTCCCAGGTTTACACTGTCTCCATGAGAAGGCCATGCCTCACAAGCAGCTTTACTGACACGTCCACTCTTCAAAATATCTGCATAGGTTGGCTTTGGTACACATGGCTGATCACCTTGACCTCTCTGGTTTACCGGTTTAGCATGAGAAGGCCCTGCCTCACAAAGATCATCACTGTCACGTCTCCTCTTTACCATGTCAGCATAAGTCTGTGGTTCACAGGATGCATGGTGCTGACCTCCCTGTTGTACACTTACAGCATGAGACACTGGACACACCTTCACTTCTCCACTGCTCAGAGGACCAGAACATTCTGCTGCTTCACTTGTTGCACAGGGAGCATCTGTAGATCTTTTCCAGCGCAGGCTTAGGGCTTGGGACCCCTTATTTTTCCTCGGCATTGTTGTTGTTCTCCAATACCACGAATGTTATTGTTTAATTCCTAAACCACCTTAATATTTAGAGGTTTATAAATATATTTAAATATAAGAATCAAACAATTCAGTTGGTTGTTTTATTGCAGTGTATGACAAGTTAGACAATAACAAAGCTCTTTATTTTCTGATCAAAACAGTGTGTGAACTGTATACCTGGGGTGTGTTTACGTTTATCAGAGAAAATGAATACAATATCGTATTATGTTAACCTGTTTCACGCCTTCCCCCCGGTACCGGGCGGATAAACGCGTCATTTGCAGGAAACAACGTCTAAGGAATCTTAATATTGAATAAAACTATGAATGTGTTATATCCATGTAACGGGAAGAAACTCAGCTAACTGATCTTTTTAATTTTTTTTTTCAAAAAAACCCCACAATGCTAGCACTCAGCCTCTGAATTAGCCTCGACGAAAAAACGTAACCTACAAAGGCACATAAACTCACTCAGAACTCCCTTATTACTTATCCTAGATGCACAACCAAACACTATTTTTTGGTGTCCTGGAGACACTGAATCTAACGGTGCCCACCTCAACACTCAGTGATAAACATTCGCGACGCTATCAACGAAAGCGTACATCATCACATGTGGAGCCAAGAAGCTAAACATGTAAATATGGCTTACCTTGGTCAAAAGTGGTCTTCAATGGCATTAAAACGATAAAAAAACGATGCTGCAGTTAATCCATAGGTTCATCCTATGTGTCTGTGCCTTCTTTGAAATTATTTCTGATAATCCATAAGCAATACAACTGCGTTTTAGTTTCCAAACTCCAGAAGGAGACATTCCTCCAGTTTAGTTTCGCTTTCCACACGCGAAGCGGCAACATTTTTTCTTTACAATGTGTGTCTATGTGAGTCTCCTCCTTCGATTCTATTGGCTCTAACGGTCACAAGGGTATGTCAACCAACCAGATCGAGCAAGGGGGGCCAGAGATAGGTCAAATCCACCCAAATGACCCCAGATGGCCCAGTTTTTGGCTAAATCTCTCTAAAAAGGTCAAATTTCACTTGTTTTGCATCAATCTTGATACAGGGTACTTATTATATGTTGTACTTTGGATTCCTAAAGCTTTTAGTCTACTAACCCATCATCCAAGGGTAGTTTTCACTATCTGTAAAAAATAATTTTTGGACGGACACTATAATTTACAGTTTTTTACTATGTAAAATCTGAATTTTCTTTAAAATAAAAAACATTTATATTGATTCTGACACTTCTACATCCAACTCACAGGTTTATCATTACTTTGAGAAAAGATTATTAATTTAACCCTTTTAGAAGGGAAGATATGGTCATTTGTTCTGGGAATGTCATTTTCGAGCCTGAGACCTGAAAAACAGGCTCAGAGTGGAACAGGTTAACTAGTTAAGTAAATAAATACAGCAAAAATCAAATATGACTTAAAACAGCCTTTAGGAATTAGATACGTTTACGGTAACAAAATTCAGTAACAACAGTTCTTATAAAATAAATATGGATTGAAATTATAAACGTATAACCTTTGTATATATATATTTGTAACTATCCACTTAGTACAACAATTTATGTGTTGTGACAATGATACAATTAAATGTTGAGTTCAAGCACTTTTCACTTGACAGAGACAGAGAGAGAGCAGAGAGACTCTTAGATTTGTTTTTTCAACAGATAGATCAAGTACTGGTAACTTGAAAGCCAAAATGTCAAGAGTTGTTTCAAAAATCAGTGCCAAGCGGTTTTTTGCGTTTTTTCAAAAGTCAGCCATAAAATCGGTTTGCGGTTCTTATAGATAGAGTGGGATAGATCAAGCACTTTTCACTTGTAGAGTGGGATAGCAAGACAGAAATACCAAAAATAGATAGAGCGTACCACCAAGTACTTGTAACCTGGTAGCAGAGATCAAGTACTGGTAACTTGAGGGACACAAAAGATAGAATATGCCAAAAATTAGACAGAGCAAGGTAGATTGGATAGGATAGACAGAGTGGCCATATAATCAGATTGAGTGGAAACAAGTGATAGGAAAGAGAGAATGCGGTTTTGATAGAGAGAAAGAATCCAGAGAGTTCCTCAACAGCAGGGCACCTGTAACACACAGAAAGTTTTGATTTAAGAAAACAGATTCAACCCCAAGCTCAAAGGTCATTGAAGGCATCTGATCACATTAACCTAATCTAAAAACATTATGACATTATGCACTGACCACATTTATATGTGGAAAAAGAAATGCCAGGAAATGTAACAGTTAGGCAGGGCTGGTTTAGAAGGCTCTATTTAACTACAATGACACTTTACTGTGTTTTAGAAACGGCTGCATTTAATACATTTCCATTCATAAATCTCAATTTACTGTCAGGTCACCACAATGTTCTCAACTATGTCAGTTAGCAGTTGGAGACAGGAAGGAGGAGCCAGCAGATTGAGGGAGAGAGAAAGAAACGTTTAGCGTGAGTTCATAAAAACAACAACCTCACAGCGCATTGCAATCCTATCTAATGTTAAAAGCTGCTCATGTACTTTCATGTTGCTTTCCACTGTTTATTACTAAATCACATGCATGTTAAAACACAGGACAGTTATTAAAGGCAAATACAAATATATTTTATTGTATTTATTGGTTATCTTTTTGAATAAAGAAAGTACAAATATAATGAAGGTTTAATACATTTTTGTATCACAAGATAATTCAATCTCGATACAAAAATGTGTAGGACATATATTGTTGGTTATTACATTGATTGTGAATTACTGCAATGGAAATAGTTTGATGTCTGAACACAGCGAGGTGGCTATTTGTATTAGCAGAAGCAATATCATTTATTAAATCAATATTTTGAGTCTAATTATTAATAAAAAAAATAGGGATAATATATAGAGTCAACCTGAATAATGTCCACCTCACAGTGTATTATTCCATACGAATGCAATTTATGGATGTCATTACTGTTGACATAACTTTTTTTAGGATGGGAATCTATTGTTAAAGGTAGGGTAGGTAAGTTTGAGAAACCGGCTCGAGATACACTTTTTGTTATATTCCATGGAATGCTCTTAACATCCTGATAGCAATGAATATCTTAAGTGCTTTGACAAAAAATCCATAACAAAATGTCATCTGTGGAAGCCGTAATACTGTAAAAAGCACGACCAATCATTTTAGCCGGCCCGGCTAAAATAACTGGATGGCCTACCTGCCTGTCAGGCTTCCATCTGTGCACAAACTCATCTCGTGCCCTCATTGGTCATGTGCGCGTTCGTGTATGTTGGAGGGAGTAGTATGAAGCTGCAGCGTCGGAGGCTGCACTCTCAGGACCCTAGTTGTTTTGCAACATCGCCACCTAGTGAGCAGGAGACATGAATATGAACGACAACGCAGAGAGTGTGAGTAGTGTGAAGTGCTTTTAAAGTTTTATTTGTTTAACATTAATAACAATTCCGGTGTCTTGAAATGAAGTATGATTAGCTAACATTAACTATGATAGTCTTAAGGCAATACAAACAAACATCTGTTAGCTTATGATAGCTTCTAACAGTATTAAAGGCACTAAAACAATTATTCGTTAGCTATAGCTTTCGGCAAAAGCATTGTTAGCAAAAGCATTAGCTTCGTTAGCATATTTGATTATTTGTTTAATGAAACTGTAGCGTGATTTTGGCAAGCCCAACTAGGTGTCCTACATTAATTGTTAATCACTAATTACAGTAAGAGTGTGAGTAATGTGAATCATGTTGTTTGTTTAAAGTTAACAACTATTCTGGTGTATTCAATTGGACAGCAATACAAGCAACACGTGCTAAATGTCATCTGTTAGCCTATGATGACTCGCTGCAAAACCAACTGTTAGCCTTTTTGTTTAGTTGTTTAATGAAACCGTATGTTATGGTTATGTTATTTAGCAGAGGCTTTTATCCAAAGTGACTCACAAAAAACATAAAAGAACCATAATTAACATTAGATTATCAATACAAATAGTTACATAGTCAGTTACATTACGTATTACATTTTTAACAGGGTAATTAGTCATCTGTAACCTACTACATTTAAAAAAAGTAAACTTCCCAACCCTGATCATTAATTATAGTCAGCTAATTAATTAAACTTCAAAGGATGACAAAAGCATGTCAATATGATCTGTCTGTCTGCTACATTAAATCAGCAGTAGCCTAATATAAGTTCTGTCTTCAGTGTAAATGCTTCTTTAATAGTCATTGTATTACTATTTGAATTCATTGTAAATAATCTTAACTGTGCTGACTGCCTGTTTACTGTTTATCAGACAGTCTCATCATTTTGACATGTTTTGTAATATTGCATGAGGTGTTTTAGTCAGTTATTATGTCGGCCTATTCTGTAGGTTAGAATCTGTCGTGTCAGAATCTAACAATTAGGCCTAATTTATGTCTGTCTGTGAAAGTATTTCAAAATGTTCAGTTTGACCAATTAGGCTCTCTCTTTTTCAAGATGCATATTTCAATCCAAGAGGGGAGATCCTTGCCCGACTTACAACGATGCACAACATGTTGCGAAGTCTTTCACTGCCCGTTCTGTGCCTCAAATGAGTTCCACCCAGCCAAACTGAGCAAGGTCCAAACCCATTTAGAGAGCCACTTCAACCGTGCAGTTCTCCATGAAGGTAAAGTTTGCAAACATTCTCTTGTGAAATGCAAATAGAGTTGCAATGTGTCTGCATTAAAAGCAGCCTGAATGTTATGATCAGTTCCATTTGAGCAATAAATCAAAACAAGTCCTTCTATGATTTGTTTGTGGTGACCAGTGGCGTTTTTATATGTACAAAAGTGGTGGGGCACAAAAAACTTAGATGTCTATATATAAGCTTCTGCAGTGACGTGCAGTGAGGTTCATGGCTGGTGAGGCACGGTTTGAATTCCAGGAGGTTAGTTTATGATTTTTTTTTACCAAAGAAGTAAATGCCTAATTAAAGTGTTGCTTATGTTTCATCATACTGTTCATCTTGAAGAAAAATGATTTATTATGGACATTGTGAATCAAAAATTGTCTTTGTCACTTTCACATTTCATTCAGATGGACATGCCTTTGATTCGGAAGTGGTGGTGTCTTCTTCTCATGGAGCGTTTTGAAACACAAGGGTATGAAAGCCCTTAACAATATGTGTGTTTTAATTTCAGTAACACTTAATTTTGAGGGTCACTTTATCTACAATCTGTCAACAAACTCAGTAGCATGTCAATAGAACATCTGTTAGTTATATTAGGTTAACCATCTACAGATCAGTAGACCATCAGTAACAAGAGCTGTAAGACTCTGGATGGCAATATCTGTTGAGATTATTAATGCATATCAATTGTGCACCAATGCCTTAGCCTTTCCCCATGCAATACTTTAGATTACATCTTGTTCTTATTGTTTCAAAGGCATGGCCAAAGGTTTGCCTTCTGGACTCTGGAGGCCAGAAGCTTGCTCGAGGGAACCCTTCAGCCAGTGTTCAGAGTGCCACGACAGAGTGCCAGAATGGATATCTCCCAGGAGAAGGTGGCCATTGGCATATTGCAGGCATGTATTTACAATTACTTTAGTTTTGACAGTAGAGACAATAACAATAGAGACCTACAATAAAATGTAGCTTGAAAGGATTTCGCATTACAGATGGAGTGTCTTATTTTGGACAGTTTAAAACGCGAGGGTCGTGATTGGTTCGTGCACGGTCCGTGATGGCCGGCCGGCCCCCAGTCTGACTTGATACCGCCCCCGTGATAAATACATTTAATTATTGTGAAGCCAGCTGCAATGGATCATTGATCCACCAGGGGGTGCAGTGGGGTTCCACACTGGAGTCATGTGTGGAGTCTTGTACAGTATGTCTGGTACTAATGTATAGCGGATCTTTGTTAAGATCCATATGTCACGGATAGGATCATAGTCTGTGCTAAATAATACATGTAATCATTTACAAAACATCACCATGTTGTTATTTAACAAAATAATGTTGTTTAGTCGAAAAAAACGAACGAGCCGGCTCTCCCGATTTTTAATCCTAATTTAATCATGCATTTTCTCTTGTGAAAAACTAAGTCTTAGTTTGGCCATAGTTATTTAATATATAGCGCCATCTCCTGGTTAAACCCTGAAATTGGAGAATAGTGGGAGGGCTTAACATTCCTGGATACTGGTCTTTGGCAGGTCTTAGGCAGGTAACTGGCTGGCAGTAGGCAGGAAGCTGTATGCTGGCGTCCGAAATAAGATGCCCCATCTGTAAATCGTGTTTTATATCTACAGCTGCCTGAAGGCATAATCCGCAGGATCCTTACGTTTGTCGTTCTTGAGGATGGTGATCCTGCAATCTGCACGCTAGCCCTTACCTGCGAGAGCTTTAAATACATCATGAGCCAGGGGTCATTCCAAAAGGAAGCCCACTTCAACTGGCTTGACAGTAAGTTTATAAAGTGTCTTTACTTCTGCCTTCTCCTATCCTAGTATTATGAAGTTGATTGACTAAGAGTAAGGTCAGCTAAATTAAGGAAGGTTTTGTTCTTTTTCTGTCTGAATTGTAATTTTCTTATGACATTCTACTTCAGGTGTCGTCAACTGGAATATCTTCACAGAGGGACACAAACAGGAATTTAGGAAGGCCTACCAAATTTCCAGGTGCTCTCAGTGTGACCATCTGTATAAGGACGTTGGCACAGGCTACCGGGGAAGTGGACGGCGAGGAATATTACAGGGTTTTTACTCAGAAGAGGGCTTCCCGGGGTACTGCAGCTGGAGCTCTTTTCTGGTGGTTGAGGGAACAGCAGACCCCGCCTCACCCCAGTGAAGAATCCACAGTGTGGAAATTGTGCCCAATAAATACAAATGTATTCTGCACTGAAATGCCTCTCGTCAAATTGCATGTTTATCTTTTGCAGCCTGGTGCATAAACACACTAACAGTTGTTTTTGAGTAATCTAGCACCTCTTCAAAGACACATTTGATTTGATTTATTTCGAACGTGTAATACAATAAAAAAAAAATATATAATAATAATGAAATGAAACAAGAGAATTATGATACTGTAGAAACATAAGCAGTATCAAATTGATTCAAAGGAGTTTACACTTATTTAACCCCACCCCTTCTCCCAAAAACTAAATTAACAGTTTTGTTTTCTTTTAACAAAATATACATCTAAATGTATGTCTACATACAATATACATTTACAATTATAAATAGATTATATCATTATTACTACAATATATATATATATATTTATGTTGTATGTCAAATTTGATAAGACAAATATAAAAGACTATCTTTTTACATCTGACATACAAAATACATTTGTTATTAAAAAACAAAAACATATTAACAACAACTTGTTGTTAATAATAATAATGTAATTTCAGTAAGAAAAACATATTTTCATGCATTTTTAGATGGTTAATAACAAGCATTACAATGTCTAAAGAGACTCGCTGTGTATGAGACTCAATACTCGCTGGTTGTACTTTTGCGGTCATCCAATCCGCTAGGTGGCGATGTTGCAAAACAACTAGGGTCCTGGGAGTGCGGTCCTGAGAGTGCGGTCCTGAGCGTGCAGCCTCCGACGCTGCAGCTTCATACTATTGGCTCCCTCCCCCCACATCTGCAGGTGAAAATTACACATTCATCGCAAGAAGTGTAGCAAAAGTCAAGGCCGCAGATTCGTCGATTTATACTGCCACAGAGCAGATTCGTGAAGTTGTAATGACTGATTTGAGAGGTTGTAATAACCAAGTTGCAGTTGTAATGGAAAATATATTTTTCTGCAAGTGAACATTTAAAGGTAGGGTAGGTAAGTTTGAGAAACCGGCTTGAGATCGCTAGAATTTGAAAATACACAACCGGAGAAAATCTGCCACTTCCTTACAGAGCCCCTCCTCCAACACACACGAACGCGCACATGACCAATGAGGGGACGAGATAAGTTTGTGCACAGATGGAAGGCTGACAGGCAGGTAGGCCATCCAGTTATTTTAGCCAGGCCGGCTAAAATGATTGGTCGTGCTTTTTACAGTATTACGGCTTCCACAGATGACATTTTTGTATGGATGTTTTCTCAAAGCACTTAAGATATTCATTGCTATCGGGATGTTAAGAGAATTCCATGGAATATAACAAAAAGTGTATCTCGAGCCGGTTTCTCAAACTTACCTACCTTACCTTTAATCACTAAGTTCATTTTTTTTTCTACAAGCTACAAAACTTTTTTTTTCTTCTGTGACTTCAAATTTGGTTCACAGATAGGTGGATATTTTATACAAGTGTAAATGTATGCACACAAGCTCAGACTTTTTTTTCTGCAAGTGCTCACATCAGGTTTTACACGCTCTCGCATTTTGCACCATATCTACCTTCATACCCTTCCACATCCCCTGCACGTTTCAAAGAAGCAACATGCATAGTAAGATAACAACTTTTTTCAAATGTTTTGAACTGAGAGTTTGTTAGTGAGACACAATATTAATGGTTGACAATATCTGGCCTCTGGTCTTAATACTGGAAAGGTTTAAGTCAATTTCTGTCAACATCATGGACTGTGAAATGTATAGGAAATCTGGCTGAGCGGAGGTATGTGTTTCTGTATGTGAGAGGGTGTGTCTTTGAGTGTGTGTGTGTGTGTGTGTGTGTCAATTATTGTACATTTTTTGATTTTCATTTTGTATGTGTGAGAGATAAAGAGGGGCACATAGAGGAAGAGAGTGAGGGAGCACATAGAAAGGCTGAGAGCCTGTGTGTATGATGTGGCTCTTTGCAGTAACGCAGTAAAATGATTGGCTCTTTACCTCTGACTGGTTGGCCAGTCAGAGGTAAGGGCGTACACACGGAGCCATTTGGCCCCCCAGAGCGTTGCGTCTGCAGATCTACCCACCTTGGGACCCGTTATCGTTATCGTTATCGTTATCGTTTCTGCGTTTCCCTGTCGGCTTCATGTGGCCGAACCGTCTATATGATAGAGAACTGTAGCCATTGCTGATGTGTTTTACCAACAACAACAACAGTGTTCCGAGTGTTTCGAGCCAGGTCCCGGTATCTCGCAGGACAGTGCCACCAGCAGGAGCCTCCAGCAGACCCCCCCGCACGGTTCCCTCGTCCCTTGGAAGAGGCGGAGAGGTGGGTGTTTTTCATCTGCTGGTGGACTACCGGGGAGAACGTCCTGCTCGGGAGCCAGGCTCAGAGTTAGTGGCAGTGGGTGCGGTGCACCTGCCTTTTACAGCAGGAGCACACGCTTGCCTCGGGGAGGGAGAAAAAGAGAAACAGCAGCCGCCGAAACAGCCAGAGCCCTGCCTCTCTCCCCACCGCTGCTGTTGTGTTTCGCCAACAACAACAATGGCAGATCACAGGGTTGCTTTTGTGCTCCAGACGCTACTGACCATGCTACAGATGTTAGTGCAAAATCTACAGCTCCTCTACCACAACCATCAGCAACAAGTGGACATGGAGAACTACATGAACTACATGTTGCTAAATCCACTGTGGAGAATAAACAGAAGGGCAACCATGGCAACCATGCTCGGGGGTCTTATTCGCTGCTTTTGGTGTATTTTGTGGTGGAAGTACAGCGCCACCTACAGGCCCGGCATATGTACTACAGCGTCTCCAGCGGGTCGAGCGGTCTCGCGTGGACGGACACGTTTCTGGTGCCGATTCTGTGTGGACGGAAGACTTTTTTGATATCGAATTCGGTTAGTTTTCGTTATCGTCTCCGTGTGGCTAGGGTCTAGATCTAGGGCAGGGGTCGGCAACAGGCGGACCGCGGTCCGGATCCGGACCCAGACGCCGACATATACGGACCCGGACCTATAATCAATACATTAATAGGGGATTTCAATTTTGACGGGGCGATTCTATTTTAACCGCTGCCGACAGGGGGCGAAAGAGACGAGTGAGCGATACAGGGAGAGAAACACAGAAGAAGAGACGAGAGAGCGGCAGAGAGAAGCGGAGAGGAAAGTGAGTAAAGAGAATAATTAGCGATACAGGCAGAGAAGACGGAGAGGAGAGTGAACAGGCGTGTTAGCGGCAGACAGGGAGAGACAAATAATGACACATGGCGCTCTCCAAGAAGAGGAAAGTGGACAGTGAGAACAGAGCTTTTAACCCTGAGTGGACGGACTCATTCATGTTCATCCTGCCCACTGGGAGCACAGAGCCAGTGTGTCTCATTTGTTCATTGACCGTGGCGCTCAAGCAGAATACAAAAATCAAGTCACTGTATTCAGCTCGCGTTATATTTGAAAAACGAGTAATCTGACTACAGTTACTTTCGTAAACCTGAAGTGAATACATTTTGGAATACTTATGGGAATTATTGGTGGAAAAGTTTCCTCATAAAATGTAATAGTCATTACCAGCAGAACTGTGTGCACACTGCACAGCTGCAGCGTGTCTGTGAGCGAGAGAGAGATGCAGCGTGTCTGTGAGGCCCCGCCCCCGCACGCAGATCAGAGAGAGATCTCTTTTAAAATATATTGAAAGTTAGAAACGGAGATGGTTCGATAAAATGTGCAAGATAACGTTTATGTAGCATTTCTTTATTGTCGAAATGATGACATTTCATAACGGGATCAAATCAAAGTGAATGGCCTGCTGCTGCTGAATGCATGGGGCAAGTGACTGGAAACAGTTTTAAAAGTTATTACGTCGTTTCAGATAATAAATAATAATGATAATTCATTCTATTTAGGGGCGCCTTTCAAAGCACCGAAGGACACCTGACAATTCATAACATATTCTAAGGAAAGGTTTAAGAGAGTACAAATAATGCAGTCCGGGTGATGTTTTTTATGTGGGGTGCAGATGAGAGGGAGCTGACCAGAATGACACCAAGATGTTGTGTTTGAGTTGTGCTCTTGATAAGCCATTAAAACAGTAAAATAAGTGTCTCCTGTTCACCAAAACATACTGTTAGATATTCTTGAACCCCGAGAGCAGGAGAGACTGAAAAGAGTCAAGGCAAGCTTATACAAGTTAACAGCATTTAATTACACAAAAGATGCGGTGGTTTACAAAAGAAATGTGCTCGTTGGTGATTTCTCCCTGCCAGCTGTTTTGGCCCGCGTCCACGCTGGGTCAGCTGGGGGCAAAGAGAGAGAGATCCTTCTTGGGTCTCCCGGGTAAGACCTGTAGTCTTCTCCTATTGGCCGGCGTCGACGGGGGCGTGTCCAATGCAAATCCTGTCGGTTTCTGCTGCTAAATTACATCACTCTGATGTCTGTGGTCATCTAAACATTCCCTAATAAACCTCATTCCAGCGTCAATAAATGAGTGTTAAACTCAGGGTGTTTAGTGTACATCATCACGTTATTTCACCTTCAATTCACGGTTTGAAAACGTAGCATTTCGCCACAAGCTAATGCTAACCGGAAATGACGAAATTCACCAGCGGAAAAACCGGAAGTCACATGTGAATCTTCGGTTTTCAGAATAAAACAGATTTAAATGAAATAGTGTATTTCATTCAAATTACGCCACATCAACATTGATTTTAATTTCTAACAATCCCTCCTTTCACACCTTTTAAGGTGTGAACACAATACTGGAATCAATGAGTTCTTCATAAGACTGCTTTTAAACTGACGGTATGTTTTAGACTAAATTATGCCATAAAACTTTGATTTTAATTTCTAACAATCCCTCCTTTCACACCTTTTAAGGTGTGAACACAATACTGGAATCAATGAGTTCTTCATAAGACTGCTTTTAAACTGACGGTATGTTTTAGACTAAATTATGCCATAAAACTTTGATTTTAATTTCTAACAATCCCTCCTTTCACACCTTTTAAGGTGTGAACACAATACTGGAATCAATGAGTTCTTCATAAGAACTTTGCATAGTACATAACTCATATAAAAAACATACTATCAAAATGGAATGGTTCAAATAACAGTCATCAAAAATACAAAAAATACTTCGGTTGGTCTTCAACATAAGTTTTCCTTTGTGCTTAAACTTCTAGTTTTAACATTCAATATCACTTTTCAAAATAGCAGCAATTAGCTTGGTTTTTAACAATCCCTCCTTTCATACCCTTTAAGGTATGAACATAATACTGAAATCAATGAGTTCTTCATCTGAACTTTGCATAGTACATAACTCATAAAGGGTAGAAAATACAAATAGTAACAATACATATTCATCATAAATGCGAAGTTTTTCATTTGTGCATAACTTCTAGCTTAAACCTTTAATATCACTTCGTAAAATAGCAGCAATTAGCTTGGTATGGAAAACGTCGAACTCCCTCCTTTCACATCATATATATATCATCTTCATACTGTATCTGGTGTAAAGGCACTTGTTCTTTCACTAAATATAAGAAGGATAAAACTATCTGAAAATATTACTCTTTATTTAAACAATCCTATCCTCTTCAGTGTTGCACACTCCCTTTTTCAACTAATGTCTAGCGCTATTCTATCGGTCTGTTTTTATGTGACTGTTTGTGTCATCCTTTTACTGTGTCTCTGGTGTGATTTAGGAATCTCTGCTGGTTATATCAGATATAGTTCTCCCCATCCACATTCTTGTTGGTTGTGGGACAGAGGAATAATAATTCAGAACATGCTGATATCTGAATCTTAATACTCGGCATATGTTACAAACAAAATAAAACATCTTCATGGTGAACTAAATAACATATTTCAATAGCTCGGAAATGTCTGATGAGCATCTGTGTTGTTCCTAAATAAAATCCTTGTAATCTTTTTCAAATCTAAATATAACAATGATTTATTCCTGTTTGTGGTAAAGACACACACCAACGTTATGTAATACAATTTCATTATGGATTCAAAAACAACTGAAGTCATAATGCTGTCAGAGTGTGGTTTCCTGAGTGTATCTGTCCTATAAAAGGTACGTCATTCTCTGCTTGGCTCGTGTGCAGAAATCCCATCAGTTGCACCTGGCAATACTGCTTCTACCCGTCTATTATCAAGCTGAAAAATGAATACAGAATTCCAACATACTGTCATCAAATGTCTTTCTATTATAAATTCAATGTATATCCCCATAATGACCTAAACAATAAAGTCCATGGCTTTTACTTCTATTTCTTTACCAGGCTAGTTACAAGATGTTGTCTAAATTAAATTCTGTGTCATTACATTACTATGTTTTAGCTTAACTGTAATATGTTCTTTCTATATTTCAAACCTCAGTTACTCTAATGTCTGTTAAAATATTACAAAATTGTTTAATTATCACAGGTCAACTTCTTCTGTATTCTATTCTGGAATTACATCTCTCACAGTAGCCCCTTGGCCACTGCTTCTGCATCTGTGTTACCTGTTCAAAATGCAATCAATATTTAGAAACATGTCAACATTCCTCAAACAGTATCTTATCCCCAGATATGGAGCAGGTTCATTCTAAAACTATCATTCAATGCTCAGTTTGAACATCTAGGTTGGGGCAGAAGGTTTCTTTCAATCCCTAAAAGAAAAATTTAAATTGTGAATTTGACAGCCATGTTGACGTTATACATTATACACTCTCCCCCCTTTTTACACATGAACTCATGTGTAATAAAATCCTGAAATGGGGAGGAAAGAAAACTTTCAGTTACATTTTGGTTAGAGACATAGCAATTTTACATCCATTATTATCTTTCCACAGTAAACACCTCAGTGAAAATAAGTGTTTCTCTTCATCTTTCAGTCCTAAAAGAAACAGAATCTTCAAATTATAGTTTGAGTTTTTCATTTGCAAAACGCCAACTCCTGTGGGAGTAAAATATCATCAAGTAGATTAGAAACGGGTCCCATGTGCGGTTTCCCATTTTTGTGGAATTATAGGAAACCTCTCGTTTCCCTTGGAGCTCCAAAATAATATGTTAGTCCAAAACCATGCTTGGTTAGTTATTGTTTTAGAATCATGCAGTTACACTGATCACATGCCGGCATTCATTCACACTCATACCGTCTGGTTGTCAAGTCAAGTGTGGTCAGGTACACCCCAGAGTCAGTCATTGACAGTGCTTTTGTCACACTGTCAGTCAGGGTCAACGGTCATTTGGTCTCGGTCTTTTGGCCATGTCGTGCTCTGCAGAGTCTTTACAGAGGTAATTCAGCATAGGCGGGTACCCTTTATCTACAAAAATATGTCATATGCGGAGCGCCATTCCTTATTCATTCACGATTTCAACTATGATTTTCAAGATGGTTCTAACTTTTCATTGGGACTTCTGCCTCCCACCTTTCTTGAAATTTGGTACAAAATTCACTTCCTTATAGTACTACTACTGCAGTTTATTTACACCTAATTAGTATTAAAATGTCTAAAATATCTATTTCAGAAACGTATGTACATGTGGCTATTATCTTGAGTCAAAACATTATTAGGATCTGTGTAGCTCTGCATTTCATAACTCCTTATAATGTCACTTAAACCCCTTTTCTGGTCTACTTAAAAAACAATGTTAATCCCCTTAGCAGTGTGTGGAACCTTGGGTGTTCGAACATGCAGCAATTACTCCCTCCTTCATCAAGGATTTAAAACAGAAGTCATTTCATATTTTCATCTTAAAGCCCTCCTATGGTGATAACTATGCCACAATGGTGAAATCAATACTTTAGATTGGAATACTATATTTGGCTTGGTCCTAGCTCTCCCTTTAACATTATCCATACAAATAAAGATGTGTCTGAATTTATACAGTGGTTCCTAAAACTATCCCTTTAATCTGTAGATCAATATTGTAACAAATTAAATCACCACTTTATTCACACATGAATAAGAATCTCTTAACGAACAATTTGTTAACATGATGGAAAGATTGAAGAATATAGTTCTACTCTGTACTCAAACACCCACTGCTTAAAGTGTAGTGAATGTTTCCATCATGTCTCCCCCCTTTATCCCTCAGTGTGTTTTAGAATGATTCTCATTTTACTTTAATAGTTTCCTTTTTACTGCTATTTTAATTTACCAATTGATTAATTCATGGTTAATACATCTTTTTGTCTTTACGTATTTATTAAGTCAATTCAAGTTCTTTAAATGTGGTCACTTTTATGTGCGTTTTGTGAATAAGTGTGTTTATGTGTAAACTCACTCATTCCCGTTTTCCTGTTCTCCTCCCCTGGTTTTCTCAAGCCGTGACCCCGGCCTCCTCACTTCCAATCGACCATGCCAACTCCTCTGATTCTGTCTTCTCTTCAGTCCATCAGCTCTTGAATCCATCGGCTGTAACTCTTTTAGGCAGCCTTTGGCCCGGTTACATCTGCAGCCCACATCATGCCACTGTTCTTGTACTGCTTTGCATTTCATCTCCTCCTTTACAGTCTCTCTACTGTTTTTATGGAGGGCGGATTCTGTCCCGGATTCTGCCCCGGATTATGTCCCACACTTTGCTCTTGTGCAAAATCTCGTGGCTCAGCTTGGAACTTCATGTCCTGTCTGAGGGACTGATGAGTATCTCTCTGTATGTCAGCATGCCGTTTGGTTCTGGATGCCACAGGTGGAGTTAGTTCTGGCTGCAGTTCTGGCTGCAGTCTTGTTGTTGTTGTTGGTTCAGCTCTGGTTCTCTGTCTGTTCGATGGAGAAGGAGGAGTCTCCTGTTGGGTTAGGTCTTTTGTCAGCTTGGAGGGTCGGGGTCGTAGCCTTTCTGACTCAGAGGGGGAGTCCAGGTCTCGGGACGCATTACCTATAGGAAGTCTAGCACACTGAGGTTAAAAAAATTCAACCCTTTCCACTCTGTCTTTTTCTAATCATACTATCTGTCTTAGTTGTTAAATGCCATCTAAACAACACAATTAATGTCTACTAATGTTATTACAAAATCTCCTTCTAAAAATTACTTCAACCATTGTTACATATTTACCCAACATAACTCTTTCAAGAAACCATTTTCTCCTATAAATTGAAATACTTACATGTTTCAAGCATCACATTCCCCACACTATGAAAGAACATCTCCATACTTTCTCCAATATTGTAATCCCACTGTTTCTCAGAACAGTAAAAACCTGCAGAGGACACTAATCAGATCACAGTAATGTAAATTGACTCAAGTGTAAGCCCATGTCTACTTTCTGTTATACTTATTACTTTTGGTGAACATTAAGTTTATATTATCTAAATTCCTTGTCTATGACTTGGAAATAGTTTGAGTG